ACGCGGAATAGTTATTTTCTTTAAGGGCGATACGCGTGATTTTGCTATGACGAATTTCACGAAAACTTTGTCTTCTTCCTTACTTCGTAAGTAAATGACAGTTGCATAAGCGGCTTGACTGGCATCGCAAAAGACGTGTAGAGTCCATGAATCCTTAATTCCATGACCCATGCGACGAGGTAATTTAAGGCTGGAAAGACTAGGCAACCTTTCGTACCATCTCTCAAATCTTGTTTGAAGTTCATCTGGTAATGGCTTATCCCAGGTCGATTTTGTTGCCCAAGCCTCTTGAAGAATTAATTTCGCAGGTAATATGACGGGCACAAAGAAACCTAGCGGGTCAAAAAACAGCATGGATTAGAGACAATAGTCTCCTTTTTGATAAGTCTCTCTTTTAACGATTTCTCTTTGGACGGATATTGTAAGGCTGTCATCTCGTCGGTCCCACTGCAAGCCTAGAACTGCGGAGACTGGATCACTATCTTCAGCTGCTAGCTCTTGATCACCATATTGATTAAAAGTCCACATTCGAAGATCCATTTTGGCTTCTGCCATAATAGTAATCGACTGGCTCATAAAAACCTTTAGCTCTTCGTTATCATCGACTGACGTGACACAATTGTCAACATAAAATGATTTGGCAAGTTTATTCGCAACAGCTTTGAATTCAGGTGAAACGTGGGACAAATGAAATGAAATCACAGCTGCCAATAAATAGGGGCTACTAGTTAACCCAAAAACAACCCTCTTGTGACGAAACACTTCAATTCTATTATTTACCCACCACAAAAAAACTTTAAGTAATTTTGATCCTCACGCTCTACCTCAATCTGTAAAAAGGCCCGCCTAATATCGGATGTTACACCAATTGCCTTTTCCCTAAACCGCATTAGAATGGCTGAGATTTCTTCTACAAGGTTTGGACCTTTTATCAAGCAATCATTTAGCGAAAGCGAACCAACGACTTTGCTCGACGCATCGAATACAGGCCTAATCTTGGTAGTGAGGCTACCTAATTTTATTACTGGATGGTGTGGTAAATAATGCCCTCCGTCATTCTTTACTGATTTTGGGACAATTTCTATGACATCTTCCGCTAGCCATTCGTTAAATACTGTACTATACTCATCAAATTTATTTAATTTTCTCAATTTTCTCGTAGTAGCAAAGAGCCTCTTTTCTGCAATATGCCAGTTAGAGGGAATATCAGGAGGGTATTTTAGAGCCCAAGGTAAACTCATGCAATATCTACCATCTCCGGTTCTGCGAAGGCCCCTAAGAAACTGCTCTTTCGCTGCTTGATCTTCTGCGACCCTGGAAATGCTTTGCGCATCATCTGCAATGCCGATAGTTTCTAACTTCCACATAAAGGAAGGTTCCATGTCTTGAATAAGAAGATTAGTTACTAACATAGATGGGGTACCCTCAAAACTTTGGATAATCGTTCCTTTCGATTCCCCACACAGCGTCCATCCCAGTTTAGTATTTATGGCTGTCAAACCACCCTCAAGCTGAATTACTTCACCAGTAAGTATTTGCCCATAAATATCACTCCCTATGAGGATTTCTATTTCCGGGTGACCCTCACCGACATCTGAAATCCAAATTCTGTGTCTTTTTAATTCCTTCAATAACGGTCCTTTAGGTATGCGTGGTATGCCTCCACAAATGGTATTTTGATCCAGAAAACTAAATTGGTACACTTTGTTTTTCCCAACCGGGCTTAGACCTATAGAATATCTCTTGTGAATTTTTGACTCAGTCCTTGTTCCGCCAAATAACGCGTGAGTTAAAGTCTCAGAGGAAGTGCTTTTCAGATTTAAAGCTTCAACTGTGGATTGTAAAACGTAAGATCGTTGGGATCCACAATCCAAGAGGCACCTGACCACCTTCTTTACAGTGCCTACAACTATTTCAACCATTAACGTCATAAGAGTGACTTCATTTCATACATAAGGGAGAGGACATTGTACTTTGTACCATTACTGACTCGTTTCGTATTTCTTTATTGTCAGCATTGTTTTCTGATACCTCCGGGCATAAAATTATAGGGTGAGATCGCCTACACAAATAGCATTGAATAAACTGTGGACATTTCTTCGCATCGCAAAATGCCCTGGTTTAAGACAGCGGAGGCAGCATTTTAATTCTCTTAATTTGTCTAATCTTTCCTTTAAGCTCATCGATCGAGCTGTAAAACATTCTTTGCTTTCGTGAAATTTTCCGCAAAAAACACATTTTTGTTCTTTGACAGCAACTAGACTTGCTGCGCTAGCGAGCGATTGGTTTTTTTGGTCTTAACCTTTTACATCTTTAGAATGTTCATTGCGCAAAGTAGAAGAATAAATTTCAAATCCAGACCTGGCTAGTTTAACTCTCTGCTCTCCTTCGACCTCTTTACGCAAAAATTCCAGGAGATTTGTGAGACGTGATCCTTCTTTACTGAACAAAACGCTTCTCTGCCATACTCGAAGCATCTCAGCAGACAGACAAGACTCGACCATGGGATATAACCAGAAAACATTAGTATCCAGGGCTAAACCTAAAGACTCTAGAGATCTCTGGTGGGATTCGATTTTGTCAAACAGTGACACTAGCGGCAACCGATCCTTTCCTTGTGAGCGTACATTTTGGATAATTAATTTTAACAATTCCCTCACATATATTTCAGTTAAAATTTCCTTGTTTCCAAAACGCTCCTCAAACGCAGAAATGGCTTTCGGGTAATTTTCAGCTGTTAAAGGATAACTATCTATCAACTCACTAGCCCGAGTTCCGAGTAACATTGATTGAGCTAAATAATGGAATTTGTCAATGTCATTAAGCTCCTTATCCTCATGGATCCTTTTAAATTGACCCCAAAATGTAAGGTAACTTAATAATTGTCCATCGAATTTTTTAATTTGAATTTTCGGCAACTTGTACCGTTTTCCATCAGAAGCACTTATGTAACTATCCGTGTTAGAACTCGTATTGACACTACGGTCAACTGCATTATCTAGATTCTCTTTCACCCGACGATTAAGCGTGATAAACTCATCTGAATATTCTTCTGTTCCCAGATCATCTTTAGCGACTTTTCCCTTAATCATTGAATCTAGTATTTCTGAATCACAAGATCTCAACTCAGCAATTATCATCTGCAACTTCAAAATTTTGTCTTTCAATATATCTCTATCCGCTTGAACATCTTTACAAAGTTCGGTTTTTAGAATCTTAGCTGTCCTAGTAAAGGCACTGCATGTCGTTGTACGCCTTTTCTTCAACATATCAACATCCATTTTATCTTTAAATGCAGACCCACTTAAAACTCAAAATCTGTAATTTAATCATCAATCCGACAAATCCTCAAAAAATGTCTTTACTCAGCAATTCCAAAAATATAACTCAATATAATAAAAATGAATACAATATGTCATAACATTCATAATACAGCAAAACAAAATTATTTTGAATATCACAGTAGAAGATTTAACGCATAACCTTTTCTACGTTTACACTGCAGATGATTTAACGCATAGCATTTTGACTGAAGATTGAAACTAATTCAAATACAAATACGAAATTCAACATTGCAGACGGTAAAACGCATTACGTTTCCAAATAACACTTAAATTAATATTTACTACTACAATAATATAATATAGCAGACACAATACTTTCTTAACTATATTAATATAATAATCCCAACACATTCGAATCAGGATCGCAATCCTGACTGGCTCGCCAATTTGTTATGTCGTGGAGCAAAAACAATTTTACTTTACACCTGACTGCCACTGGCTCCAACATAGCAATGTGAATACTCTACATCTAAAATTTTCAACACCATTCCAGAATTTTAAATGTTTATTTAATAGAATTCTATTCAGATATTTGCAAGTTATATACAATAAACACAATAACAAAAATTTAAACTTATCTGCAGCAGCGTGAATAAGGCTGGCATAATATTCTGAACTCGACGCAACTTTAGGAGGAAAAGTACCGCAAATTCAAACACAAGGTTTCATCCTTTCCAACGCAGCTAATTTTCTAAATATATTTTTACTAATATTCGCAGCGGGACAGCGGATTCCATTTCATTCACCCAAAACTCAAATGTTCTAACGCAATAGTATTGCAAAAGATGCAAAAAACTTCGACTCAAAATCAAAATTAAAGTCTATAGAATATCATCCACTGTTGCCATTCCAGCACTGTTAAGTTTCTTCCTGCAGCTGTTGCCAGACTTATCCTTGCTGTATGTGAGAGGTACAACAGTAGGTATAAATTGGTTTTGTATATGCATGGCTGCAGCTACTATATTAATACAGAATGGGATCATTTTGGCAGATATATTGTAGTTACTGCATCCAATATTAATATAATAGTACATATGTAATATTTTAAAGCTGTTTAGAAAGTTTAAGATAGTATTTGTCAGCTTAAAACTTTAAAGAATCTCCTGAATGACGGTTAACAGCCATACTTCTAAGGCAGAAGCTTATTGGATAGAGTAACTATAGTAGATGTAAATAAAGACAGCATCCTTAAAATTGGGAAAAATTTCTTTTAAATTAGGATTTATTTTGAATAAAACCTTATATGATCTATGGTGTCAAAAAAACTCTTGTCTGTTTTTAATATCATTTTATAATTTTGCTTCTATACAGTGAAAATTATGGTATTTATATCGAAATATGTGAAATTAAATTGTTTCTATTTTATTATTAAACCTTTTACTCTGCACAAAACTTAGCTTAACATTATATAGAGAGTTCAAGTAACAGAAAACTGGCACTCATTTTATGTAGTGTATGTTTGTAATAATGTTTCTGTTATGTGAAATGAGCAATTCGCTTTGCATATATGTTCTTAGTTTTATCTTTTGTTATTAACTACTGAATTTTCTTATTCTATTTTTATGTTTACGAAGCAGTTTTATTTAACAGGAAGTATAGTTTTTTAAATTGCATCTTAATGAATAAAGGAAAAAAAAAATTACAAATGTGTAATACATGCTACTTAAAAGTTGGTTCTGGTTATTATATATTGTATTTTTGCAGGTGTATAAACAAGCTATAGAAAGTTTACGACCTTCATCTACTGACACATGGCCATTATACTTAAATCATGCTTCTCTTGCATGTCTTCCAAATTCTTGCTCAAGGCATAATACACCATCTCAGGCTCATGCTCTTACCAAACTTGTGAAAGGTTTTTCATCAGGCAGCGATGAATACATTGTGGTAATAACCTACACTTGTTCTGTATTTTAGATGTTATTTACAGTAAATGCTTTTGTTTGGGGAGAAAATTTGTTTTGTATAAATTTTGGGAAACACAAAATTTTAATATTTTGTTTGTTGAATGAAGGGTTCTGTGATGATGAACTTTATTTTTTTTCCATCATATAAAGTTTATCATTGTAATAGATGTTCAGTGTGCTTCCCAAATGGGAATTCTGTCCATGAAAATGTGCTTGATTTATTAATAACACAACAATGTGACCATTCTAGATGCTCAGTGTAGCAACCGTCACAATCAAACTCTCTCTAAAAATAATCATCAACATCACAGGCAGCACGAAACTGTCTTTCTTAAAAATTATCGATAAAGCCATCTGACAGAGTGACTCTAACCACTGAAGACCATCCATATAGTTAAATAAGCAATATTTCCTGTCTCAAAGGATAATTTTTATAAAAGATGCAGGATGATCTCTGTATAAGCATGACTTCAAGTAGTCTTATAACCAAAATTTACAGACTCTGGAAACTTGGGTGGCTGCTCATGCTAAAAGTAACAACTTATTGCCCAAATATCGAAGAAGTGAATTTTGATGTACCCATGGGCCTGTTAAAAGGGATAAATTTACTATTTACAGTTTAACTTATTTGAAAATATATGTTTTCAGATTTTTTTAAAGTTATTTTTATTTTGAAGGAAACTTGCTTAATATTTGTGAAGATTAAGTGCCAGAAATGGGCAGTTTAAATTTTGAAGTATATCTGTATCTTTTTCATGAAACTGAGATGCATATCAGAATTTTTCCAAACAATATATGTCTGTTATTATTAAATTTATATCAATCACATAATATTTTTTACTTCTCATATATGTACAGTGAAATACGTTTAATGCGAAAACGCTTAAAAAGAATTATCGGTTAACACAAAATAATACAGCGATTCCTACAAACTATTGTATATTTTCATGCATTTTGTTTCTCTTAACGCGAAATAAAAATCGCTTAATATGAAAAGATATCCTTTCTGGACATGAACAAAATACGGAAAACACCGGCCTTGCAGGCGAGATTCAAGATGGGTGTGAAATGAAAGAGAGGTGGTTTCACATGTTTCATAGAAAGAAAGCTAACTTAGCTTTGAAATACCGTAGGAATAGCCTGCGATACGAGCCAGTTTTGTTTATCTAAGCTATTTTCCCCTTCCACCCCTACGAACGCCACACATACATCTCATTTCTCATCAGTTGCCTCTAGAATTCGATGAAGAATACATAGCAGTCTGAGTAAAAATCTGTGAGTTTAGTTCATATGCTGTACTCTGTATGTCTCTGTCTCTTCATATATGGCGTCAAAAGAAATGGAGAAGGAGGATATTGAAACTCAGCCGACGCTTAATGAAATGTTTGAGAAAGTCTTTGTATGTAAAGTTCTAGACTGTCCTACTGTATTATCAGAAGAATTTGTTACAATAGTTGGTGATAATATGTGTCCAGCCCTAATTATGGCAGACAAAGACATTTTGGAGTTCGTTGAATTCTAAAAATGCAGATTCTGACGACGAAAATAAAATGAATAATGTAGCTCCTGTTCGCACATTCACCCGAAATGAGGAAAATCATGAAAATTATGTGCAGTTATTTAGATGCACATTCTAAGGGTGAAATGAATAAGAAAATTGACAACATTGAATAATTTGTTAGCAATTTGACTAATTTTCATCAAGTTCTTGTGGATATTTTTTTCATTGGTTTTTATTAAATACATGCATATATGCATATCTATGTAAATAAAATGTACTCTAATAAACTTAATTTTGTTAAATATATATATATATATATTCCTTAACATTCTTTAACACAAAAAAATATTTCAATCCCCTCAGTTTCGTGTTAAACGTTTTTCGCTGTATATTGGAATCAGCTACGTGCATACTTAGCAGATTGTCATTAACAGTTTTAACAAACCTTCTGAAGAAAAAAGCCAAAATACCGGTGTTCAGCGACTTTGCCACTTGGTAGCTGGTGAGCCTTTTTAAATTATCGCATTAACTATGAAACAGAGAGAAATCAAGGTGGATACCTTTAAAGTAACGAATATTAAAAAATGGCCTCCGAACCACTATACTGGTAAGCGTTGCTGACTGCTGTGCTGAAGGGTCCGGGTTCAAATCCCGGAGAAGGCTTGGATGTTTGTAAATGTATATTGTCCATGTGGCATGAGAGCACTCTAAATATGCGGCGAGACAAAAGTCCTCTCGAGAGGTTGATGGTAGGGAAAGAGGGGTAGGAGACATTCGGACCCGTCCCCTCATGATGTTCTCAATCAAAATTGGTAACAGAACTGAGCTTAAATCGCACTGTCACCTGTAAGAAGCTCAAGGCTGTTGCTAACAATAGGCGTAAACTTGCACTTCTTGCCGTGAGGAATTTCGTGGGCTTGGGCTGACTATAGATCAGACAAGTGAGCATTAGCAACAACAACATATTTAAAAACGTGTACTTTTTAAGAATATCCTAATTCTGGTATATTTCCTTATTACTATAATTACAACTACAAAATAACTAATTACATTAATAGTTCTGTTATAAATGTGTTTATTTAGATAGAGGTTTCTATTTAGATTATTAGACATTTATTTAGGTCTATTTTAGAAAGAGTTCAATGTGAATAATGAAATCAGTTTGAATTAAATCTAATGATGCTGACACCCGAAAGAAAATATATAAGAAAGACAACACCCATAATTTTTCTTTATGATTTCAGTCCACAAGCTGCAAAATCTGTTTCTCACAAATACTAACAAATCCAGCTACGTAAATTTCAACATAAGGAATTTAAGCATAGTTTTGAATTCATTTAACTAAATTTTTTTAATTCCCATGAGAAAGATTTTTTTGCATCAAAAGACAAAAATGTGTTTTTATATATATATATATATATAGCTCAGAAGGAAGGACTATTAATTTTGTTTTGCCATTTTACATCGAAAACTTTAAATGTCCGTTTCATTTTTCAAATTGTTGCCACTAAATATTATCATCCTGTATTATATTTAAAGATATTAAAAAATGAAGAATCTGCATAAATGTATGTATGTTTTTCACATTGTGATAAAACAACGGTACTTAGAGCCATCAAATTTTGAATAACGTAATCCTCCACCGAATATGGGCATCAAGAAGCTCTAACTTGGAATTTGTTATTATCAATTTCATATCTTGTAGCACTTTAAAAAATTTTTCATTAACTCGATTTCAAAGCGAGCAGTGGCAACACTGTATGGGGGTGGAATTATCTCCAGTGCGTGACACTGTGTATTGGAAATTCTAAAGTTATGCTTATTTAAAAATTATTTTGCGATATTGCTGTTGAATTGAATTTTATGGTTTCAGTGCAAAGAACATGATATTTAATAAATAAAAGTAACACACAAAATGTTTAAAAAATGACCCTTTGGGCATAATGTAAAATCTGAAAGCTTCAGATTTTTTTTTAACATACACACACACACATATATATATATATACTTCTTTTTTCTTCTTCTTTTAAAGAACTTTTTCTGCATACTGTACACTGTCTTCTTGACTTTCCATCGAAATATGAACAAAAACCTACTGCAGGCATATAGAGCTTCGTGGAACATCATTCAGAAATATAAAATGAGCTTCAACTACCATATAGTGTCATTTAAAACTTAACATTTGAATTTGAAATCACACTGCTGTGATTATGGGCCACAAGACTCGGAAAGGATGGTCAAGTACTATATATCATACCATAGGGAAAATCATGTGATACCGTATATATGAACACTGTCTTGAAAAGGTTAAAATTACTATTAACATATTGCTAATCACTCTTTCTGTGTGATTTATCAAACAATTTTTTTACTATTTTTAGCCCAAAGGAAGCATTAACCCAGAAGGGCTCGAAACGGCATTATGCTTTGGTTCACTATAAACGGTGAATCACTTTTTAAATTGTTGCTGCCAAATACTATTGCCTTATATTATATTTAACTAAATTAAATCATGAAGAATCCGCATGAATTTATATATGTTTCTCACATTGTGAAAACACAACGGTACCTAGAGCAATTAAATTTTGAATAATGTAATTCTCCACCCAAACATGCGCATCTGGAAGCCGAATATTGAATTTATCATCTGTCTCATATTTTGTAAAATTTTAATGAATTTTTGATTAACAAAATCATTTTATCTGTAAGCAGTGGCAACACTGTATGGAAAAAAACATTTTTATCTGCAGTATGAGACTGTCTGTCCGAAATTCTAAAGATATCCTATGTTTAAATATTTTGTGATATTGCTGTTGAATTGAATTTTATGTCGTTTAAGTGAAAAGAACATGCTATTTAATAAATAAAAGTAACACAGAAAATGTTTTTAAAAAGAGGCCCCCTTGGGCATAATATAAAGTCTGAAAGTTTTCAGTTTCTTTCTCTCTCTATTTATTTATTTATTTATTTATTTTTTAAGATCATCTATTTTTTTTCCCATACTACATCAGATATACCAAACCAAATTTTTGGTTCCCTTGAAGTTCTTTAAAGCAGGGTTCTCTATAGCAAAAAACTGAGTATGTAAAAACGCGTACTCTTAGTATGTACTCTTGCCCCGAGTACATAAAAATATATGCAAACATAACATATGCATTACCAAAGAAACATTATTGTAATCTATTTGAATACAAAATCCCTAGCATTGCCCCTTTTCCAAGGACTGCATGTCCTAGACAGGAACACATACTTAAAACTAAAGTATCGATGCAATAATTAACATTGCAATGCAAATAACAAACAACATAAACAATAATTGCAATAAGTAATTTAAAACAAATCAAATACTAAATCAATAAATGAGTGCACAGGTTTAGAAACAAATGGACCATGGTCTTACACTATTTACATTATATACACTACGTACTGTAATCATAGTAATGAGATAGCCTGTAGTAAGGAGAGAATATTTTTTGTCA